CTCGCGGGCCCTCTCCGCTGTCTCCTTCTGGAGGATGACTTCCTCACAGAAGGAGACTACCGCAGTCCAGGATCTGTCGCTGTCCAGCATCGCTCTAACGACGCTGGGCAGCGAGAGATCCCGTCCTATCGCCATGACCATATCATGGCGCTGCCGGGACCACGACGGGCACTCCTCTAGGGTGTGCTGCGCCGTGTCCCCGACAGCGCCACAATGATGGCACGACGGAGTCGCTTCTCTCCGTATACGATGCAGGTAGCTGCCAAAGCATCCATGCCCTGACAGCATCTGCACCAGACGGAAGGTCAGCGACCCATGCCTCCTCTCCCTCCATTCTTCGAGCACTGGCCGCAGCGCCTCCAGGGTCCTGGTCCCATATTGCTGCGTACCGGGATTCGAACCCGGGACCTCTCGAGTCGGCGACACCATGAAACCCGGCGTACGAACCACTCGACCACGGAGGTCGTCATTATGTGTGCATTTATCGTAATTATGTATAAGGTATCATAGTAAATAATAGGCAATACTAATTTTACTATTAAAAAATTGCAATTGGTATTTAAATATACTCATATATGTATTTTTCTCTTGTTGGACTAACTATTTGGACCACCTAGTTCAGTAGTTTGACCAACAGAAAGGATGTTGAGATATTCAATTCAATTCATTCGTTTATTGCATATCCACAATGTACAAAAATGTTAAATATAAGTTATGACAAAATACGATCATTATGAACCCTGTCCGGCACGCAACTAAATGAAAGATAGAAGAGTTACATTCAATTTCTATGTTAGTTTACAGATTAAAAGAGTTAGGTACTGAATGGCACTTTTATATAAGTTGTCACTATTTATATAAGTTAAGATAAAATTTATTCAATCTATACAATCATCATCAATTAATTAATAGGCAGATAATATTTAATAATAAAAAATAAAAAAAATGCTATCCCTTAATGTCAAGTTAAATAATATTTATGTAAGTATGTTTGTGTGTATAATTGTATATGTATGTCATTTATGTGTAGGTAACATTTTATTGTCATTTTGTACATGATAGTCGCTATTTACTTCAGATTGTCACTCAAATAATCGTTAATACTATAGTAAAGTTCAAGTTGAGCCTAGAATATTTTTTTACACTGTAATTACACTCCAAAAGAGGTTTAGATAAAAAAAAATGGGTGCGTGTACTTATGTAGGCGCGTGAGAAGTTATCCTTCTTTGGCATCGTTTAAAATTAGTTTTTAATTGCATGCAAATAATTAATAACAATAAATTAATAAAAAGTCTGGAAAAGGACACAGCCAATAAAGTTCAGTTTTAATTTGAAAAAATAAATAAATAATCAAAATATTCAATTAAAATCGCTACTGAATATAATTTATTAGAACATATGTGATTTGCACTTGTATGAAACTCAAACACGTATTCCGAATATACAAACTAGAAACATGTGGATAAATATTATAAATATGAATACCTATAACTGTTACTTTATTACAAAAAATAAAGATGTGGTTTTTGGTTCTACTACACCAATGGTCAAGAGATGGCGCTGTAGACTCCTGAATCGCGCTTTGGTTCCGTTGTTCCAGATTAATAAATACTTTTGATATTATAGATATGAATGCCTATAACTGTTACTTTATTACAAAAAATAAAGATGTGGTTTTTGGTTCTACTACACCAATGGTCAAGAGATGGCGCTGTAGTCTCCTGAATCGCGCTTTGGTTCCGTTGTTCCAGATTAATAAATACTTTTGATAGGCCTTCACAATGCAGTCGTTAGCACCCACTAAATAGAGATTCTATTTCTATTTTGTTGGTAGATTTTCTTAATGTGCGGTAAACACAAAAGTAACTTCATGCTGTTAATTTTTGTGTGATGCGCGCGCATCTTAAAATTTCACTCTCATCATTTTTTCATAACGCGCCTAAAGAAGTATAACTTCAAAAAACAGTAACTTTTCTTAATAACAAAATTCCGTTTTCCTCTTTGCAGCATCCAGATTCGCTTTGTGTGAAGTAAAGGTGATGCTTTACCAACTGCTGCAGCACATGGAGATCTCGCCCAGCGCCAAGACCATGACCCCGGTGAGGGTAGCCGCTGACATTTTCCACCTGACGATGAAGGGGGGCCACTGGGTCAGCATGAAGATCAGGGAATAGATGTAGGTGTTAAAGTGAAAACATCGGGAACCGATGTCGCCGGCTCGCCTCCACTACCCTTACACTTAAAAGATAATATCCTCAATTTAAAACTTTAAAATGTTCAATTTAAAAACGTATATATTTAAAAAAAGTTTACTAGAAAAAAAAAGTTTACTAGAAAAAAAAAAGTTTACTAGAAAAAAAATCAAAAGAAAAAACTTCTAGTAAACTTTTCTTTAAATTTAAACATCTAGCAGTTAAATGCTTAAAAAATAAATAAAATCATAACGTATCTATTTTTTTTCTAAATGTATATTGATTGACATACAAGAGATTTTAGCAAAGAATGGCATACCAAAACTATAATGTTTATATTTTTTTATATTTTTAAAGCATGTCACTGCTTGATGTTTAAATCTAAAGAAAACATAATTTGAAAAAAATCCACGCGGACCAGGCAGCAGACGGGACTCGAACCCGCACCCTTCGCAAGCCGGGCGAATGCACTGACCAATTATGCTACCGCGACCCTCACGGACCGCGTCGAAGTTCTTCTAGTCATTCTTAAGCTGCAAGGCAGCGCCATCTCTTCGCATTATAGTTAACCCACAAGGTCAAATGAATACTTTTACAAGTATTAAACATTTGAAAGAAGAAATAGCAATTATAGTTATAATTTTTATTATTTTTAAAGCATGTAACTGCTTAATGTTTAAATCTAAAGAAAATATAACTAGAAAAAATTCCACGCGGACCAGGCAGCAGACGGGACTCGAACTCGCACCCTTCGTAATCCGGGCGAATGCACTGACCAGTGCAGTGCAGTTGCAGCTTAAGCATAATGCATGGACATACAGACACGTCATATTGACGAGTTCAATGGGATAAAGAAAAATTCCAGGTTTTAAATCACAAATATATTTTTGTAGCTACCATATTAGATCAATGTAGAGTTTTAATAAATTAAACCATTTAAGTTAATACATAAACACACATAGGTCGATTTTAAAGCATTTATTTTAGAGTCTGTGCGGAAAGAGAATGGGCGTGGCGAAAAACGAAACTAAAATTAAGATTTTATTTGGCAATCAAACCCAGCAATCTGTAAAACGTCAAAGATTTGTATTGATACGGATTTGTTTGTTGTTGTGATTTCTTGCGGTTTTTTGTATTTAATCATGTCTAAAAGGGGTAAAACCTTACAAATACGGTAGAAAAGCACCACAGCGCCCTCCAATCTAAATCCCATTCTCTTTCCGCACAGACTCTAACTCATCTTAAATAAGATAAACTTTAGTCATATACGTGGTTTTATTTTTATCTCCCAATTTAGCATCGTTCAGTCCTTGTTTCAGCTGCAGACAAGAATGGTTGTAGGAAACTAAGTTACATAAATATACTAGCGGACCCGACAGACGTTGTCCTGTCTACACGTCTTTAATTTGAAAATTCCAAACTTTTTTTAATAAACTAAAACATTCTGGACCATTTTGATGAAAATTATTATTCAAATGTTATGACAATATCTAACGATCCCCTTGAACACTCACAAAAAATTTCATCAAAATCGGTCCAGTCGGACAAAATTGTGAATCTAAACCATTCTCAGATCCCCTTGAACACACACAAAAAATTTCATCAAAATCGGTCCAGTCGTTTAAGAGAAGTTCAGTGACATAACCACTCACAGAAGAATTATATATATAAAGATTCACGCCAATATATTGGGGAGTTTGTAAAGCATCAATATTATAATGTAGGGAGGTTAAGGAAAAAACAGAAGCAAGTAGCCGGATGGAACCATCATATCAGTTCTAGTCACCAAATTGCACGACAGGCAGATCAAACCTGGATTTTCTATGGTCGTCCTAGTCATGGTAGGATATAAGATGCTATGTATAACGCACGTAAAACTCTTAAGAACGAATTAAAATGGTGCCAGCGCAATGAAAATAAAATAAAAGCAAGCCTCCTCCAATTGGCTGAGTAGTAGCAGGTATCTAGCAACAGGCGTGAATGTCCAAGGCGTCCTTAGTAACACAATCCGTTCGGGGAAATGTCAACAAAACAGCAGACTTTATGTAATCACATTCCAGGCAAATACATCAACACACAGCTTGCCCACATGCGGGGTCATAAAGAAAAACTTGGCCTGCTAATACTAATATATGGTATTTTTTACCAATAATAATAATTTTAAGGTCCAAAATATGTGCAGAGGAAGTGACAGTTCAGTTTACTTTAGTTATTCTTTATTTGGTAGGAAAGTCAGATTTCTGTTTGGCCAGCAATGGGTGTCATCTAGTGCATCAATATAAATCAGCTGTTAAACAAAGTCGTAATAAAACTCCTGAAGATATAATGGCTATGTATAGATCAAAAAATGATTTATATAATTTTTGGAAAGAAACAAACAAACTCAAATATGAATCGAATTTGCCTATGTCAATTAATGGTAGTTGTGATCAAGCAGAAATAGTTAATATGTTTATAACTAAATTGAAAGTCAGTGTGGAGCATGTTTTGTCTTGTGGGCCGTCACTGTTTGAAAAATTACGTTATCTTATGAATGCATGTATTGATTTTGGCTACTTGACGCATGAGATGATTAAAACTATTGTTGCGCCTATTATAAAGAATAGAACTGGGGATGCGTCTAGTACAGAGATTACCGGCCTATTTCTTTAGCAACTATTGTTTCAAAAATCTTTGAAAGAATTATAAATGTATACCTAAACGAATCAAATATTGTGTTAAACAGTGCCCAATTCGGTTTTAGAGAGGTCTCTTTAATGACTTGGCAATATATTCTTTAAAAAATATTAAATATTATCATAATAGAAACGCTTCAATATACTCTTGTTTTCTAGACTTTAGCAGTGCTTTTGATTCAATAGATTATAATTTACTTTGGCTTAAGTTGAGACAAACAAAAGTACCTACAAGAATAATTAATTTATTACAGTATTGGTACTCGAATCAAGAGTACCAAGTCAGATGGGGACAGTCCCTCTCTGTACCATATAAGCTTGATTGCGGGGTTAGGCAGGGCGGAGTAACCTCAACAGTTTTGTTTAATCTTTATAGGAATGGTCTGCTGGAGGAGCTCAGCAGCACCAGAGTCGGTTGTCACATTGGCGGAGCATGTGTTAATAACTTAAGCTATGCGGACGATATGGTGCTTCTGAGCCCCTCGGTGGCCGGCCTCCGTAAGCTGTTAGGTATTTGTGAAAAATATGCGCATATACATGGCCTTAAATATAACGTTATTAAAACGGAAGTAATGATATTTAAAGCTGGTAACGGAATTAGAAGCATCCCAGAAATAACATTATGTGGTAGTCCATTAACTATAGTTACCACGTTTAAATATTTGGGACATATAATAACTGACTCATTAAAAGATAATCATGACTTAGACAGACAAAGGCGATCGCTTGCGTGCTAATATCAAGCATATTAGCACGCAAGGCGGTTTGCACACTGTTCTTGTTAAGACACTGTACGTTGTTTAAGACATATTTCCAGTCGTTTTACACCAGCCAATTATGGGTCAAATTATAAGAAGAATGTTTTTAATACTCCTTGAGTGCAATACTTGGTCTACCTTGGCGGTGCAGTTCGACTAGTATGTTCGCTGAGAACAACGTAACCGATTTATGTGTATTGTTAAATAGATTAAAGAAATCGTTCCACAGGAGACTGCATGAGTCAAACAATAATATTATTGCATCAATTTACTCAACAATAACATATATCATCTTGGTAAAGTCCATATAATACACACTGTCTGTTATCTGCATATCGCCAATGTTTTAATAATGTATATTAATTAATTTATTTCATTTAATGTAATGTGTAAAACTATGTCATACAGTTTTGATTGTTTATTATTATTATTTAAAATTCAATAATGATTATATTTTATTTATTTTTAATAATATTTTTTATTATTATTGTTTGAATTTAGTAAGAATAATTGACGAGTTGTGATACAACGATTTAATTTTAACATAAAATGGGACAATGCAATTGTAATTGTTATTTTTAATATGAGTTATTATGCCTGAAATAAACATTTATTATTATTCTCTTTATTATTATTATTATGGGACATTTAAGTCTAAAATGATTCCCATTTTCATAAGTCACGGCTATTCTCTCAATTTCATTTTTACCCAGTGCCCATTTTTCATTTTCAGATTGAACGTGTCTGTGCTGAGCTTTACGGGAATGGTGGTCTTGACGCTAGGAGATAGCTCAATATGCTGCAAAAGTTGATACAGCATCACCTTCACTTCACACAATGCGAACCTGGACCCTGTAACAAAACATAATCAAAACGGCGAAGAATACTTAAGTTCCACTTGCAGCAAATTGGCTAAATCTCGATGAAGCTAAAACAATATTTAGCGCGCACAATAACGTCAAATTTATAAAGACGTTTTGTCATTTTTCTATGGGTTTAATATTATTTGAGTTGAAGATTTAGCAAAATTTCTGCATGTGGACCTAGGTTACTCATTGTAGTATTTGCTGAACAATTTCATGTTGACCTCTACTGCTTAGGCACAACCCAACTCAATATTAAATGCAGAAAAATATTTAGCTAGTGCATTATTGTATGCACCTCACGATTCGCTGCAATATAGAAGTAGATTATTTAAAGTAAGGTTACAATAATGCTGGCATTTTCTGATAAGACTAAAAGCCTAAAATATATTTGGGAGAGGCATAGGCCTCAGCAGTGGGCGGGCTGATATGATGAAATATATAAATAAAAAAGATATTGACAGAATTATAGATAGGTCACGCTTAAACCCATCAAACTTATCCAGTGCTAACCAGAGTGAAATCAGAAATCAATATTATCTTTATTCAAATTGGTCCAAAAAAAACGAATAATGTAACAACATTTAATTTTACAAATTATTGTATTGTTACAACGTCAATAGAATCATGATTTATTTCAAATAGAAAACCTGTTGAAATGATTGAAACAGTTCAAACGCAAGCAGTTTTGCCTGATATATTATCAGACACTTTGTAATAAGTGTTTTTATAGTATCTTTGAATTTATTTGTGGTTGATATTGCTTGGGACTTTATTGTATAAGCGAAAACAAAGGCATTTAATGAATTATTGAATCTGTGAAGCCTAGTAGTAGGTAAAGTTAGTGTATATTTTTTCTTGTATTAAGTGTATGAACATCACTGTTTTTAAGAAACGAGTTAATATTTTTACTTACAAGTAATAAAGGAGATTGCTCAAATTGGCCTAAATACACAAAAAATATTGACATACACGGTAATTATTGGCGTAATTTATAATTTAATTTACAGTCATTAGATTTCAAAGGACACCTTTGTATAATATATTCACTTTAAAAAGGACTTTTATTATTACCGGTTTGGAAAACATACGAATCATTTTTAATGGCTATGGGTGTAGTAACATTCAGCCAAAGACTGATCGAAGTTGTTTATATAACATAAAAACAAATCTATTTTGTAAAGATAAATAAAATAATCATTTTTTTTTATTACACTGTGGTATTAATATCCACCACTATATTATCATTTTCACTAGATGCAAATGTGCTCAGACAATTATTATAGATGGTAGGCGACATCATAAAGTCTATTGCCATACATTTTTCGCCAAACACCTCCATAAACACATTATAATCTGTATATATGTTAGACTTTAAGGTATTTATCTATGGGCCTACGTTCCCTGACTATAAATTAGTAAAAAAATAAAATTATAAGGTGTGATACACTAAAAATCTAAAATATGGTTATCTTAAAAACATAACAAAAATAATGAAGCTACTGAATATACGGCTATAGAACCTAATTCTCTTAGCTTTCTTTGGTTAACTAGAGTTTAAAAATTCTCTCTAATCTGTGGCTCGTTCACGATCATCACACAGTTTCTGTCACAGAGTAAGATACTCTGTGACAGAAAATTATAACCGGAATTGACACCTGATTTTAAAAGTTACTCTTATGCATTAACTTTAAAAACAGGCAACTATCTGTTAATCTACATGCTCTATATACCTGAATCTAATCCATAATTTCGGTACTTGGCTTGATTTCCCTAGTTTACTATATAACTTATTTGTTTTTAATTATTTTAATATGTTCAGTGTATATGGTTTATAGAAGTTCTCAGGGGTGTCCGTCAATAATATTCGTTTCTACAGTAATTTATATATAATTTCGAATCTAGGAAACAATTTTTTATGATTATTGGTCTTTAGGCCAAACATGTATGGAAGCTGAGCAATCTCCTACCGTCATTATGCCAATTTCTTTAAACTATATCTTAATGAGTGATGTGCGTGAAAACCTAAGAAACAAATATATAATTATGGATTATTTCACTTTAAGATTATGAATTGATCGAATAGCTCTCTTCTGCAACACAAAAATAGTTTGAATATCGGCGGCGTTTCAAACTATAATAAAATTCTGTTCGACGTTACACTATGGAAATAACTAACGTACACTAATCTGGCGGTATCTACATCTGTTAATTGGCTTATTTTCATAACGGCATACGCTGCAGAGCTAAGTCTATTTGACAATTTATCAATATGTGGGCCTCATTGAGCTTAGAATTCAAAGTAATCCCTAAGAATACCGTGGTGTCTACAAGGCCCATATACCTATCCTTTACATACACACTGGTTTTTATCTGCTTTATATTAGGTAATGCAAATTCCAAACATTTCGTTTTTCCTACATTAAGTAATAAATTATTAACATTGAACCATACTATAATCATATATTGTAAAATTGGTAAATCCTTCCTAAAAAATGACAATTCCTTGGGCGACCCCTGGTCTGTATCTTCTATCTCAAATACCTCAAGTAGTTGCTATTAATTCATATTCTGCTTACGCAAATATGAACATGTGTCTCAATTCCGATCACAGCTCAAGTGGCTACCTTTTCGCCTTCGCCGGAATACTCACATCCTCATACTTCTCTACAATATATTGTTCAATCGTTTGACCCTGCGCTATCTCAAGGAATGCTTTAATTACATTCATAATTCCAATGTGTTATTCATTAGGTCATGACAAAATTTAAACCTAAAAATTCCTATCCATAACACGACCTTCTATGATCGTACTTTTACCATCCAAGCTGTACGTCTATGGTATTCTCTTCCTGTATCCATAAGACGAGCGCAATCTATAAATGTCTTTAAAAATCTAGTTGTAAATCATTATTCTTCGATGTAGCTGCATTTTTATATCTGCCGACTGGACTAAACTTATATATATGTAGTCACATAGACTACTAGTTATATATATGTATATAGATTTAATTCATAAATTTGTTTATATCCCTTGTTTCTTTTACTGACACCGCTGTCTCCAACTTTCTTTCAATCCTCTCCATCCAAAGGTTGTCTGGAAGAAATCGCTCTTAGCGATAAGACCGCCCATTGAAGCACTCTTTTTTTTACAATTGTAATTTCCCTCATTTCTGTTCTGTGTTGTGGTGTTTTCAATAAAGTATTGTGTATTGTATTGTATTAATCAGACATATTCCATAAACGTTTAGTGTATTTATGCTAGTTGATTTAAAATCTTACCAATACAATTCCGAGGTCCAACTCCGAATGGTAAATATGTAAACGGTTTGATCAGGTGCTTATTCTCTTCTGAAAACCTCTCAGGGTCGAACTTCATGGGGTCGGGGTAGAACTCCGGGTTGCGGTGGATGCCCCACACAGGGATCAGAACACCCTCTCCTTTACGGATCTGCAATAATGAAAGAAAAAGAAGCTTTTTATTAACCCCCTATTATACACAATAAATTATAAACAAGAAACCAGATAAAAATAACGCTTAGGGTAATACCAGGACTCAGTCTAAGCAAACGATAGAACCAATTCAATTAGTGCTAATCTTGCAACAAATACAATCCTAAATTGAGCAAACAAAGCAAATATTGAACATTCTAATAGATCAAGAGCTACTGAACCCTCAGAGTAACGGTCTGTTTGTAGCCAGAAATTCGACGTCTCTTACTCGCACTGCCGCAGCATCTTTCTCCACGCCTGGCAAGGACTTGTGCCAGAATCGCCTGGCATTCTACCTACTTCCTTTAAATCGCTTAAACAAACATATTTAAAAATTTCATATTTAAGGAATAAAGTTAAAAATGAATAAACTAAATTGTATAAAAATTTCAAGCTTACAGCTACAAGTATTTTTTTAATATTTTTTTGACACTTTCAAAAATATACGGCTTGATGACGTGCAGGGCTGAGGAGTGCCAGGCGATGCTTACCGTACTAAACATGCTCTGACTCATCACCATAAGAATTTCTAGCCTTACAGACAGACCGTTACTCGGAGGGTTCAGTAGCTCTCCTACTATAAATTGGTAATATTTAAAACAAAATTACGTGTTAATTTCAACTAACAATGAAATAGTTATTATCAATGGGATACGTTTACTGAATTCATTAAAAGATTTACCACAAATTTTGCTACTGTTCGAAATCTGTGATAGGATTCTCGATACAAAACACAGAGCTATAACCACAGAAGCGCTAAAATACATAGAACTATAATAAAAAAACTATTTCATTTAGTGCTGAATTTCACTTAATATTTTCTTAGTGTACTAACTTCTACCTGCTTGTAAATACTTACAATGTAGTCTTTTTGGCATTTATCGTTAGCTTTCCCAATATTATAATCGTTGTTGCATTGTCTCTCTAGTACTATTCCTGGTGGCCAAAGCCTTAAAACCTCTAAAAGAATAAACAAACAATTGAATGAAGTGTGACTTTCTTTTATCTTATTCTTTGGAATTATGATATTTTGAGCAGATGTAGGAACCTCAACCAATTTTGATAATTTCATAAATTATAAACACGAGTCTAGATAGAGTTTGAACAGTCTGAAGATAAACACACCATAAATATTATTAAACCGCTTTCCCAAATCAAAATATCAACGATCTCTCTTCGTCGACCAATCATTTATCTATGGATCTCTACAAGCCAATTTCTAAATTCCTTTCAGCTAAATAATATAATCTAACAGCTGTTAGAAATCTTTTCTTTGATATTTTCATAATTAAACTATGTTTGCGTTAAAAAGCGTCTAGATCGAGTTCGAACAGTCTTCAGAGAATAATTAGACAGCTCTTCCAAATCCAAATGTCAAAGATCTCCACTACCCCATTTCAAAATTTTAATCAGCTTATTTTAAATTTCATTCATAGGTAACGATATATATTTACCTGAAACCACCATATCCAAATATGTCATGTTCTGTACGGAGTTGTAATCGAATTTGTCCCCATTTTTTAACTCATTCTCTTTGATCTCTTCTACCAGCTTATCCTGAATCTCAGGATGAAGAGCAATTTCGTGGAGAGCAAAGCACATTATAGCAGCGATGGCATCGAACCCGGCAATGAAAAATAACATCGCTTGGGCCACCAAATCAATGTCTGACCAAACTGAGAAATAGACAAATCTAATGATAAATCTTCAAATTTGAAAATATGTATAAGGCTCTAGACAGAAGTACTGTATTAAACAACATTCTGATTGCAAAATTGCAACTTAAATGCAGTTGACTCGGCTGCAATGAAACTTCCAACCACTCGTATTGACAACTGCACACTGCCTGCAATTGTACTGCACTGGTAGTTGGCAGTTTCATTGCAGTAATGGCAACTTTATTCAAACTGCATTTTAACTGTAATTTAGCAGTCGGAATGCCGTTGAAGTGCAGTCCGTCTGTCTATTATAGTCAAAATTATGAGTCTATATATTAAAGAGTCTGTTAGGTCTCGTAAGCAGCTTTGTTTTGTTGCTGTACCTTTCTTTATGTTCCTCTTTCCAACATTAGATTCTTCTACCGTAGCAAAGCCAGCGTCAGAGCCATTTGTTGTCTGTTCTTCGTACAATAGTTTGCCTGTAAATAATGCATTATATCGATATGCAAAATCTTTATACATATGATCTTCAGTTTGAGTAAATCAATTCGTGTGTATATGACTATTTCTTCAATGTTATCTAGAATTTCTATAATAGGTACTTAAGTATAGATAAAAGTATTTTTTTATACATAACATTAAAGTTGTATTTAATAATATAAGACACCTAAATTAGGCTTAATCTAATTTGATTTATTTTGTCTGTTCTATCTTATCAGCTTCAGTGTTTGTAGTCTAAAATAATTATGGTATAACCTTTCTTGGCCTCCATGAGGAGGTGGATCATGTCTGGCCTAATAATCTTCTGTATCTCACGTTCATTCATAGTGCTCATCACTATCTGCTTGAAGAATTTCGTCGTCACATCCTTGAACATTCCAATTCTAAAAAACTGAAATAAAAGTTTTGTTTCGGTTTAACTGAGTGTAGTTTTAGTACTTTTATTATAATTTCACTTATTTCGTTATTTTTAACATCGCAATAATATCCCACTAAGTTCGAACTGCGTCGTAGTGTAGCAGTAGTGCAAATTACATTCAATTGAAATAAAGGACGTGAAGCTGTCCTTTGTATTGACAAATTGCTTTGGTCCACTTGTAATAAATTTTGTTTTCTTACGAGATGGCACGTAGGTAATTTTCACGATGTATTGTCATTCGTTAAATGGGGTATTAAAAAGATCCAAATATATGTATTTGGATCTTTTGTACATAAGGACACCTTAAAAGGAATGTAATTTTTATGATGAGACTACCATTTTACGATTTTCCATTTTTCTCTTATGCTATAAATATGTACATCATTGCCTATTAATCTTGCTTAATATTTTAGATGTTAGAGTTTGTATGTTTGCTACTCAATGAAGATTTGGATAAAATTTGGTGCCCATATAGTTAATGACTTGGACATAGGATACTTTTTATCTCGGTAAAATGTTAGGTTCCTGTGGGATTCTCAAAAAACTAAAGTTACCGCGGACGAAGTTGATTATAAATCAACGGTCAAGACTTTCAACGGTAAGTACTTTGAAGGTTTTGATTCTCTTATTTATACCGATTGCTACTATATTATGGTGGTGTCAAGAATCATCCCCATCGTTGTCGTTGCGGTACTCGCGTCGGCGAGTTGGAACACCAAAGTCTCTCATAAGAAATGAGCGCTAGCCGAGTCTCCCTCCACGCCTGCATTAATGACGTCATCGGCAGAGCTCTTTTCGCAGTCTACGTGCCAGCGGTCCTTGAGACTAGCGGCATCTTTCGTGATGATCGATCGCAAGAAGCCTGACGGGATAACACTCATTCCTTGGACGCAGAAGGACTCAATTGTTTGGGACGTTAATTGCGCGGATACGCTAGCTCCGTGCCATACAGGTAGCACTTTCCTTGCTGCGGGCGCGGCGGCGATCTCTCCCAAGTGCTCCAAGCGGCGCAAATATTCAGCTCTCTATATATTTGTGCCATTTGGTGTTGACACCATGTGCTCATGGTGTTCAAGCGCTCATTTCTTTTTAAAGGAATTATCAGACACTCACCGAAGTGACTGGTGACCGAAAGGCTGGCAGCTATCTTGGTCAACGGATCAACCTTGCCATCCAACGTGGCAAGGCTGCCAGCCTTTTGGGCACCATTCCTGACGGCGGCACTGGGGGTAACATATTTTTATTTTGTAAATAAGATATTATTCGTAAGTAGGCCAGGGTACTTAATTTGGATTCAAATTTAAAAGATAAGGTAGTATTTAAATTATTGTAATTTAATCTATACACATATATCTATATATATATATATAACACAAAGGTGACTAACTGACAACGCACAGCCCAAACCACTGGACGGATCGGGCTGAAATTTGGCATGCAGGTAGATGTTATGACGTAGGTATCCGCTAAGAAAGGATTTTGATCAATTCTACCCCCAAGGGGATAAAATAGGGAATGAAAGTTTGTACGCAACTTTGTCAATTTCAAACTGATCGGGCTGAGACTTTGCATGCAGGTATAAGAAGAATCATAGATGCCTGTCATTATGTATAATACAAGCCTGAGAACAAAAACTGTAGTGTACAAGTCAGCTCTACACCGAAGCGAAGAGAGGGCGGGCCGCTAGTTTTCTATCTATTGTAATACTCTGGCCAATAGTCAGATAATCTAAATAGCGGTATTAATTTACCTGAATAAGTTTAGGAAAATTTTGTGATCCGAAGAAAACAAGCACTTGTCGGAAAGTGAAGTTGGAAGCCTCTTTACCCCTTCTGTAGAATTCGTTGTTCTCTTCCACCAGAGAATTTATCTTTAGGCCGAAAGCGCAGGAGGCGATCACGTCGTTTGCGTACCGTGTGGTCAGGTCCTTGCATTCCACGTCCAAATATTGTGCTGAATAAAATATACTTATGTTTATGATGATGTTACACTGATCTCATTACTGTGGCCACTAATTCTACACTAACAAAGAATTTTGGTGACTCATTTCTTTGTGGTACTATACGCGGGTCGAATTCTTAGCCAGGGCATGCATTCACTCCTTCCTAAAATCTAGAGTTCTTTAAGGGAGGCATGTAGAAGCATTTCTGCGGGCCGGCAAGGTAAGGAAGGTTGGTGTGGTAGTTATAACCGCTGCGCCGATATCCTCGCGTCTGGACTTTACAACCACTGAATATCAGAATGGGAAAATAGTAAAACAATGAATAAAAAAGAAATAGAAACTGAAAAGATAGGGTAAGTATTATTTAGTGGAGCTTTCCTTTAATTTTAATCTTTGTTTTTTTTTATCTCAAATCCATTGGTGGAATTCAGTCCTCAAAATTTACATACTCACTTCAATATATTATTATTATTATCATCAGTCTATTAATGTCCCCACTGCTGGGGCACAGGCCTTTCCTATGGATGTAATCTATCTTCTTCTATACTTATAATAAATCTGTAGAGAGGTCAATTCTGTACATGAAATATATTTTCAAAATAACTATCAGGGGATGATTAGTGATCGATACTGATGCCAAAAATGCAATCAGTAAAATTTTTGTCTGTCTGTCTGTCTGTCTGTCTGTGTGTATGTTCCTTATAGAAACAAAAACTACTCGACGGATTTTAACGAAACTTGGTACAATTATTCCTCATACTCCTGGGCAGGTTATAGTATACTTTTCATCACGCTACAATCAATAGCAGCAGAGTAGTGAAGGGAAATGTTGAGAAAACGGGAGAAGTTACTCCATTTTTTAAGCTTCCGTCGCGTGTGCAGCCTTAATGGTTAAAGTTACATAGAAATCATGTATAACGGAAATATTCTACATAAAATTGTCTAAAAAATATCCCGCAACAGCATATGTCTATCTTTTATGGTTGACTCACAATAACACGTGTAATTATATAAATAAAGTCATTGTTTATAGCACAAGCCTGAGAACAAAAACTATAGTTTACACTACAGCTCTACACCGAAGCGAAGCGAGGGCGGGCCACTAGTAAATAATATAATACTACTACAATAATATTACTTGCACCGTTATCTACCCTAGCTCTTTCTACTACCCCGAGAAACAAAACCACCAAAAGAAAGTATTATGTTGCTGTGGTCTTCTGTAAAATGGCGATTAGATTAAAGACTACGTACGTCCGCATTGTGGCGGTAAGGAAGACAATTAATCTGAAAGACTGACACGTGGATAGCTCCACTAATTCTATCTTTCTTTAACTCAAATCCATGGGTGGTATTAGGTCCTTAAAATTTGCATACTCAACTACCTGTAGCGCCTGCACTACATCTGCGATAATGACGATCGGTTACCATCAGCCGGTCCATAAAAGACCATCTTTATATTAATGGTTCAATAACATACCTACTGTAATTGCTATAATATTGCTTCTAAACGGATTTTTGTCTTACTCACATTTGGATGCATCAATCTTTGCTTTGAGTGTTTCTATCATTTGGTCTCCCACTTCCACCATGAACGGTACCATCAGCTTCATCTTGGAGCTGGTGAAAGCTGGGCTCAGGGTTGATCTCATATCCTTCCATTCTTGACCTTTAGAGTACACAAAAATACACCAGGAAAGTAATAAAAGCATGTAGTTATAAGTAGTTTAATTTTATCATATTCATTTTTCAATGGAGAAATATTCCATTTATTTATTGACTAACTAAGTACTTGCTTTGAGTAAGTAAATGTTTATCAATGAAGATTATTCGAATTAAAAGTTTGTTTATAGATACATGACCTTGTGATAATAGTATGACCAAGAATATATTTCCTGTTTGATCACAATATGAACTGGTTTTGATATTTTTTTTATTAGTTCTTAACATAATATTATGTTTCAATTTACGTCTTATAATTTCAATGGTGTTACAGAATTCGATTCGAGACCTCAACGATTTAGCTACGTAATTTAATAATTATCCAATTAGGGTATTTGACAAGTTTTAAAAAACGATCTCAACGTTATTGACTAAAGTTTATGGAGTCCGTCCGGAGTGGATATTCATCATTCTGTTGTGTATTTCAGTAAAAATAACCAAATCAACAACTCCATTTTCAATTTGCCGCGAAAACGTTTCTCAGGACAATATGGCGTCTTACTAGTGTGTGACGTCACACGACTGTTATTAAAACGTTAAACGATACAATGTAATGTCACTTCAATTGGAAGTTTACTTGCGTGTGACGTCATTTTAGGCTCCGCCAATCCCAAGCGTTTTGGGTCACGTGACAATTGATAAGAAAACTATTATCTTTTTCGTGAGTTTTTTTTAGTATAATTATGAATATTTTTTTGTAATAATAGTAAAAACCCCTGCCAATATTCATTCTAAACACATGCTAACAATTGGCACTTTATTTTTAATACTGTCAAATACCATATTAGGTAGCAATCGAAACAGACGTTATAACAATATTAAAACAACAAAATCAAGGTTGAAGTGCCATCTGGTAGAGTTATAAGTTAAGTTTTCTTATTTCCATAAAAACTTTAAACAAAGTATCAGAAAACTTTATGGAAAATTTTGGCATAAAATCGATAAACGAACAAAGAAATCTGGTGACTCGTTTCGTTGTCGAACTATTACAAAGTGGAATTCTGTGCCCGCGCACGTGTTTCCTCCTTCCTACAATCTGGAGTCCTTTAAAAGAAGCGTGAAGAAGCATTTCTGTAGGCAGGCCAGGTGAGGGTTGGATTTAGAAACAAGTCGCCTGAATTTGAGGCTACTGGATGTGTAAGGAGTTAAAGTAATATCGTTTTTGACTCCCTAAAGTAACTTTGGTTGCCGGAGTTGCGTATAAATATTTTGAAACTATTTTCAAAAATTCGTAAAATCTAATCGTAAATGAGTGAACGTAATTTTTATATTAGTTTTGTATAATTGTTGTCTTTTAAGAAAAATATTAAACAAACGCGTGAAACGAAACGCAAACCGCCATTTTGAATGTAGATTTTTACAGATACGTTGTGAGTCATTCATTCCGTTGCTTTAGAGTTTTCGTGAATGTGCTTCCGTGTTATAATTTGTGATATTATAACGATTTGGCTACGTTTTTCAGTGTGTGACATTCGCTGAAGAAAATGGATTGGTGTTAATTCAAAAAATATGCAGAACACATCGCGGCTAAACTGTACTTCTAGGGCCCAAGTGGTGATACTTCACACTAGGTTAGGTTAGGTTACTGTTGTGACTATACCGCCAGAAAAAAAACTGTTTTAAAAGACCTTTTTTATGAAAGTTAATAAGTATTTCCGGCGACCGGAAATAGTGGAAGGGCGATTCAATTCACTCCCCCACCCCTCCCCACTCCCTCACAAACCCCAAAACGGGCGACTTATTTCTAAATTTTTACCTCAGGTGTGGTAGCATCATTTGCCTACCTAGCTATAAAAAAGAGAAAGTTCTCAAATTACGGTGTAAACAAGGGACACAGCGATTTATTTTTATACAAATATTCAAGCAATGAGTTTTAGTTCTGGTTAGATATTGAGCTTATTGCATCCTTTTTCTACACAATTAAACATATGCTGAAGTACACTATGGTTATAAGACTTCCAATTTCCTTAGAGCTGGTTCCCACTGGTCGGGTTTCGGATCCGTATTTTAATCGGATGTCGGTGCTTTTGTTCACACACACGATTAATAATTAATCGGTTGTCGGTCACGGTTAAAGCTTTAACCAATTTTAGGCACTACGCGAGGCGACGATTCACGATGGACGTTGACGAAGTTATTGTTGTGCTGTATTATTATTTAAGAAAAAAACGAGGAAAGACAGCCAAGGAAAGAAAATATTGGGTGCACCCAATCCTGAGGGAAAGATTTAGTTTGGGAACAATTCAGAACTTAATAACTGAATTGAGAAGTGACGAAAAGTTTTGTCAATTACTTTAGAATGTCGATAAGTACGTTCAGCCATCTATTGGCTCAAATATCAGTGAGTATAAACTACCAAAATACAAAGCCGGAAGAGGGTTATCGGCCCCGACATCCGATGTGAACAGCGCCATTCTTAATCATAGGCGAGCGAGATCCGGCACGATTTTTTTCCGGGCGTAGAGGGCTGGCAAAACACCCGACATTTCTTGTCGGAACCGACACAAAATCGGTTTCCGATGAGTGTGAATGAAAAGCTTCATATAAAATGCTCTGCCACCGGAACCTCCGATTAATATACGGATCCGACACCCGACAAGTGGGAACGAGCAGTTAGTTGTCCCAAATCTCACATCGTATGACAATGTCTTGTCTTCAAACCTTACCTTTTAAAGAAAACAAGTTCCTTCCGAATAGGGGGTCTGTCTTCTCGTCAAGAATATTTCTATGATCCAGGAAGTTCTCGAAGTCTTTTATGGTGATCCTTTTTATGAGTTCGAAGTCTTTAACCATCACAACTGCGTTCAGAAACTCGTAACGGCCAATAAACCTATAAAATATTTTTTACGGTATTATCTTTTTTTTTAACTTTAATTGTCAGTAACATTATAGTAATTTATGTTATTTACGGGATTGTGTTATTTACTCTTCGGTTACAATGTTTATTTTTTGAGTGTGTATGCTGTTGGTCTCTGATGATCTTTACAGCGTCACCGGGTTTGGGGACGGCGAGATCCTAAGGGGATCCTAATCTCTAGCCGAGAATTGGCGAGTGCCTCTAGAGGTATTCCAGGCAGACGTAGTCACCTCTCCGTTTGGAGCCTCTAGGCCCTGGGTTCCGAACCTGGGGGTAATTACCCCTCCGGGGGTAAATCACCCATACTTCAGGGGTAACAAAGAACCTAATTATTTGGTCAAATCTAAATAATAAGAAAATACTATATAATAATACTACTAAATGGAGCATGCGCTCCTTCTTGCTAGCGAGCCCGCGGGGTGCTGACTGTGGGAAGCGGGGCGAGATTTTCTCCTGATGATGACATTATTAGAAACGAAGATGTAGCGGCCAAATTGGAATTTCTTAGACTGATGATAAATATATATTACTAGCTGATCCGGCGAACTTCGTACCGCCTTAGCGTAGCTTTGATGCACTACTTTATTTTGTATAGCTGACCTATCTTATGTATGAGTACCTATTCAATTTTTTTTATTTTTCTTTATATTTTTTTCCGTAAGAACCTTGTACAGAGTATTAGAAAACTACAAAAAAAAACCGGCCAAATCGGTCAAGCCGTTTTCATGTTATGTCGTGACAACGGAAAACGGGTTTCATTTTTATATATATAGATTAGATCCATTTTAAAGACGGGGTAAAATCTGTTTTCCTAATAGGTTACAGGGGTAGCAGTATTGGAAAGGTTAGGAAACACTGCTCTAGGCCACTCGAATCTGAGGGGGTAGGTTACCACGTACCTTGTTTTTGTGTTTTTAGAGAGTTTCCGATATTTCGGCACTATTGCAAACTCCATGATCACGGAGTAATTGAAGTAATTGCGGTAGGCTTATTTATTATTATTATTATTGGCAGACATATCGGTCTACCCTCCGAAGAAGTCTTTTATTGCGTTCGATACCCGTACCACCGATCACATTCTCACTATTCACTCGAAACTGTTCTCGACACAAATATCGGAAAGTCGCTAAAAACGAGTAAAACATGGTGACAATTCCGTAATCAACATAAATTACAATAAAGAAAATGTAACTAGAAAAAAAAATCCACGCGGACCAGGCAGCAGACGGGACTCGAACCCGCATAATGCGAAGAGATGGCGCTGCCTTGCAGCTTAAGAATGGCTAGAAGAATTTCGACGCGGTCCGTGAGAGCCGCGGTAGCATAATTGGTCAGTGCATTCACCCGGATTGCGAAGGGTGAGGGTTCGAGTCCCGTGTGCTGCCTGGTCCGCGTGGACTTTTTCCTAGTTATATTTTCTTTAGATTTAAACATCAAGCAGTTACATGCTTTAAAAATAATAAAAATTACAAATATAAATTACAATAATTAATTTTATCGTTCCTAAAAGTATGTTATTAACTACTTGATGTTTGTATCCAAAGAATATGTTTAGGTACTTGTAAGAAATCCACTGGATCAAAGAGTATTATTAACATTTTATCTTTTTAAGTAAGACAGTAATTAAAATCAGCCTTTAACCAAATAACTAGGTATGGCATACAATTTGTATGAATTTTTATCAACATCAGAATTAAGACAATCAATTTCCTAAACAGTACGTAACAGTCACCTTTTCTTTCTAGTACGACAATTTTATTTTTCCGAAAAAGTAATATTCTAATAATTACATCATCATCATCATCATCATCAGCCTATTAATGTCCCCACTGCTGGGGCACAGGCCTTCCCTATGGATGGAATAGGGAGATTGGGCCATGATCCTCCACGCAAGCCCTGTGCGGATCGGTGGATGCTAACGACTGCAGATGCAGCCGGGACCAACAGCTTAACGTGCCTACCGAAGCACGGAGGAGCTCGAGATAGTAAATTTTTGGTCACTCAACCCCAACTGCGAAAGTTGCTTAACTTCAACGATCGCAGCCGATCGCGCTAACCACTTGCGCCATCGAGCTCCTCAAATAATTACAGCTAATGTAAAATTATAAAATACCTTTCGTTAGGGAACTCATTATAAAGTCTATAGATCTGTTCCGAGAAGTGTTCGATCCGGAACAATATGCTGGACATGTTTCCCAGCAGTGGGACGGGGCGCAAGTATTTCACTCCATACGATGAAAACCTCGAGTACTTCCCCTTGAAGAAAAGCGCCAACGATGCCAGCAGCACCAAGCACCAAATCAAGAACAACATTATCTACGAACAAGAACAAGATGAACGTTTTCTTTTTGGAGTTTACTCCTTAAGAATCGATTTGCATATATAAGGGGCCCGGTATGAGAAAAATGAGAGGAGTAAAATCTATAGATGAATGACATTAATGACCTCGTTACGTTTTTGTGCGCAACCTCATCTGCGCACCTTTCACTTTTAGCCATGGCAACGGGTAAAAAACATTAAGTTGTCACAAATGTCAATAAAATAAATAAACTAAAAATAGATAAAATCGGAGCAAAATTAATGAAAACAAATAAATAACAGAATATAGAGAAATGCCGGTAAGTGTCCAGCACTCTGGAATAGTGATTTTCAGTACAGATGGAATTATAATACATATTTACAAAATGATGACTAGTGTGTGATATTTTTGAAATTGTGTGTTTCCAGAAATACATAATAAAATATATGATGAATATCGCTGATGTTAGATGATAAAATGTGTGACATGGAACCTATGACAGTCGGAACCATGGGACGATTCCTGAGGTATCTCTGCTTGTAACCGACTTCTTCGGACTTGATTTTGTTTTGTGTCTGTTCAAAGACAATCGTTTTTAGAGTGTAAACTCCGGTCGTGCGTCGGAGCTGACACACACAATTTTTTTCTTTCTAATCATCACGGATCTCAGTAACTTCCAAGCTCAATTCGAGAAGTTTTTCTCATTTATTTACAGTCTAAGCAACATTCATCATTTACAGAAACTGTAGGTATTAATAAAAAGTTGTTTTATTTTCTTAGCAAATAGATTGGTGTACAATCTTTTTTGTTCACGGTAACATAAAATGGCTGATTTAAAAATATATAATTATATCTTCTTATATATAAAATTCTCGTGTCGCGGTGTTTGTGGTTAAACTCTTCCGAAACGGCTTTCCCGATTCTCATGATATTTTGTGTGCATATTGGGTAGGTCTGAGAATCGGACAACATCTATTTTTCATCACCCTAAATGTTAAGGCACCTCTAAATTTTTTTTTCAGTTTTAGATATTTTTTTTAATTTTTTTTTATGTTACAGCATTAGTAAATACATATAACCCTGAATTTTCAACCCTTTACAATCAACCCCTATTTTTTTACGGCGGTACGAAGTTCGCTGGGACAGCTAGTAATAGTATAAATATATAACAAAAATAAAAATTGTTTACAAGTTCAAAACCGTATACATATTTATTTTCTTAGCAAATAGATTGGTGTACAATCTTTTTTGTTCTCGGAAACATAAATTGGCTGATTTAAAAAATATAATTATATAATAGTATAAATATATAACAAAAATAAAAATAGTTTAGAAGTTCAAAACCGCTTGGACTTTTTTGATGGGTATATTTTGGTAGGTATTCAACAACAAACGATTTTAATTAAAACTACCATGCCTTTTCAAACTGTTTTTAAAATATTAAAAGGGTGATATGCAGTGATACGATAGCTGTGTTCTGTGGATAGTAGAAACCTAAATTTGACTATAATGCGATTCAACTAAGAATAGGACCGACTGGGCGCCATATTTTGTATATAGGTAGAGTGAGCAAAAAAAGTAATTTCTATTTAATAAACCTTATTTACTTAGATTAAGTGAGAAAAAACATCAGATTTTTTAATAAAATTAATTTACTAAGATTGAGAGAAAAACAACCCATTTTTAATAATATTTCTTTATTAGGACTGTGAGAGAAAAAACATTAATCAGAATCTAGCTCTTCAATTCCGCTCATCTCTGCATTACTGCCGGAGTAGTTATGAATAATCATGCAGGTCACACACGAACATGCATCCTATATGTAAACGAAAGTTTTAAATCGAGTTTCTGAACGCAACATAAAGTGACATTTGGTTGACGATTTAGGCTATCAACCATTCATAGCCAAAGCTCAATAAATGAAAAAAAAAATATCAACCAATATTAATTATCAATATTTGTTATTGTTTCTTTAAAAATGTTTGATTTTTATTCTAGAATCAGCTGAGTGCTGAATAAAGTGTTCCGAGATTTTTTTGCAAACTGTACTTTTCAAGCGACGTTTGACAGATGGAGGTCATTGGCTTTCCTATTCTTATTTGAATCGCTTTATAAATCAAGTTATAAGTTCAAAAAGAAAACGGAATCTTAAAAATTACGAGTAACTCACCCAATGAATAAACACAAAAGATTCTAAAAAACACACATTTTATTATAACTTCTTCACAAGATCGCAGAGCAGACACAAAACATAAACTCGACGACCGAACACTGCGCTACCAATAATAAAAACTATTATTAGAAGATATCTTTAATCATTTATAGCGTTCCGTAGCCAAACGGCAAAAACCCTTATGGGTTCGTCATGTCTGTCTGTCTGTCCGTGCGTATGTCACAGCCACTTTTTGCCAAAACTATAAAAACTGTACTGTTGAAACTTGGTAAGTAGATGTATTCTGTGAACCGCATTAAGATTTTCACACAATAATAGAAAAAAACAACCACAATAATAGAGTTCCCCATGGTTAGAACTTAAACTCAAAAAGTGTTTTTAACTAAACGATACGTGTGTGGTGATAAAACTAAAAAAATATGATATACATTACCATGCAAACTTTCACCGAAAAATTTTTTTTTTGTTTTTGTTTGCTGTTGGTCGCAGACGACCTTTACAGCGTCACCGGGTTTGGGGACGGCGAGTGCCTCTGGAGGTATTCCAGGCGAATGGCTTCTCCCCACGGGGGGAGTCTCCGGTCCGTCTGGAGCATCCAGACCACTCGAACCTGAGGGGGTCGGCTCAACTAGAGGTCTCTGAGACTCGGACCTCGGCTCTAGTTAGCGGTTGTCGTAGGAGCCGAGAAAATTAGTTGGAACGAGATCTAGTCATAAATCGTAAAATTTAATTTACCTTTCATTCAATCAACTCAAATAAAAACAAATAACTTTCATAAACATAAACTCTATGCGCAAACCGTGAACCATTATTTTCTAATAATAAATTAATTAATTAATTTTAAAAAAATACACTATTATTTTTTGCGATTAGAAATCCTGCGACGTGTCGGCAAGAAACGCGAACTTTGGGATACCATCAGAGTGAGGAAGGCTGCGTATCTAGAGCACGTGATGAGACACGAAAGGTACGCCCTTTTACAATTAATAATGATGGGCAAAGTTGCTGGAAAACGAGGTGTCGGTCGCAGGAAGAAGTCTTGGTTGAGAAACCTACGAGGATGGACTGAAATCTCGAGCGCCGCTGAATTATTCCATCTCGCTAAGGATAAGGATACATATGCTAAGCTGACTGCCAACCTTCGCTGCAGTGTTGCCAGGTCTCCAGATTTTACAGGAGATCTCCTGTTTTTGTGAAATTTCTCCTGTTCTACTGTTTTTCTACATGAATCTCCTGTTTTTCTTAGAATACGATTTTCTTTTTTAAGTTGCATGTTGAGTTGCATTTTCCGCCATTAATAACGTAGGTAACCTAAATAATTATAAAATAAATGTTATTGTCCAAAAAAACAAGCTTTGCGGGGCGGCAGAAGCCACAGAAACACATTCTTTTCAATTCGTTATTGGTCTTTATCTTGATTTGATTTACCAACTCTAAGGGGGGGGGGGGGGGGGGGGAACAAAACAAAAAGTACGCCTCTGTATCTACTGTTTTTCTTGTAGCTCTTTTCATATATCTACTGTTTTTTTCTATAACGCCTCCCGATTATTTAAAATTGGTGCTGACAGCACTGCTTCGCTGTTCGGAGAGGCACTAGAAGAAGAAGACACTATTATTAAAACATCGATCAAAGATACAACGAACTACAAGAACTTTTTTATTATGTTACTTTCTGCTACGGAACCTTTCATGGGCAAGCCCAACTCGCCATTGGCCTTTCATTTTGTTTTCCACTTATTGTTATCAAGTAATACAATAGTAAACAATATATATATAGATATGTAAGTCTGAGTTTTGTTGTTCAATAGTGGATAGTTGAGGAGCTCGATAGCGCAAGTGGTTAGCGCGTTCGGCTGCGATCGTTGAAGTTAAGCTACTTTCGCAGTAGTCGGTCATTGGATGGGTGACCAAAAAAATTACTATCTGGAGATCCTCCGTGCTTCGGAAGGCACGTTAAGTCGTTGGTCCCGGCTGCATCTGCAGTAGTTAGCACCCGCCAATCCGCACTGGGCCCGCGTGGTGGGTCATGGCATAATCTCGCTATTCCATCCATAGGGAAGGTCTGTGCCCCAACAGTGGGGACATTAATAAGCTGATGATGATTATGAGTTGATAGTTGTTATAAAACTCAGTAGGTACTTAATAATTTAAAACTTATTTCGTGATGTTATTATTTGCCCATTTCTACCGAATTATAAACATCGTGAACTGAAACACTTCGGGACTATTGCAACTTCTTCGTTTTTTTTATATATTTTAATAAGTGATTTAAAAATAAGGAAGAAACCCTGTCCATTAAACGCAAACACTTTAGAATATAGATAAATAGATAACACAGTATACAATATAAAGTAAACACCAATAAAAGGTAAATTAAAAAAAAAATGTGTGTGTCAGCTCCGACGCACGACCGGAGTTTACACTCTAAAAACGATTGTCTTTGAACAGACACAAAACAAAATCAAGTCCGAAGAAGTCAGTTACAAATAGAGATACCTCAGGAATCGTCCCATGGTTCCGACTATCATAGGTTCCATGTCACACATTTTATCATCTAACATCAGCGATATTCATCATATATTTTACTAGCTGTTACCCGCGACTTCGTCCGCGTGGAATAGTATCTTTGGGTAGCATTTTTAATTATTTAATAAGAATCTTTAGTGGGTATAGTAGGTATATTTAAAAAAAATATATATTTGTTTACAGTACGTATAAGGTACCTATGTATTCCATTGAGTGGCAGAAAGTACCTAGGAAAATTTATTGCTCCCTTATGTCCAAGAGACACTTACAGGGGCCAGCGTCACGTTGTGTACAAAAATATTTTAAAATGACCTAATTTAAATCATTTTTGTACACAACGTTTGCTGTTTTGTTATTATTTGTTAAACTGTGTAGATTGTTTGGACTCCACACTCGCGAGCAGGCCACGTACAGTTGGCCATGAGAAAAACAGTTTTGACGTGACAACGTCTTAAATTAGGTTGCGGCTGGGAGTCACTTATGAAAAAGTGTAACGCTCGGTAACGTTACGATGAGTCTCTCGTGTTAAGTTTAAGTTTACATGTACAATGTTTTAGTAAACAAAATATATTTCTATAGTTAAAATTTGTGCAATTCTTATTTTCATTCAATTCCTTGTTCCTATTGTGCAATTTAATTATATTCATATCAATAAATATTCTACCGAGAAAAAGACGTTGTCACGTAAAATCTTCGCCCGTAAAACCGACTTTACAGGCAACCATTTTTTCTCTAAATTGACACCTGCTACTTTAAGTGTTTGTCCTTACGCTTTGTTAATAGTCATTGCGAAGGCTGGTTTGAGAGGAAACTGGATTCTTTTAAACTGAAAAGGTAAATCTGTAGGGATCATGGGTATGCGGGGAATCAAAACTTCTTCATCTTTAGCTATTCCTGTCATTATAATTGCTCTAATAATATTGCGTCCTAGCTGCGTAATTTGCAACCGAGTCCCGTTGCATAGTCTCGGCGCTTCGAGATTTCTCATTAACAAAACTGGAACCCCAATTTTCAGTCTCAGCTTATGTGACGGCACTCCTGACAGCTCTAAAGAGTTTAGAAACTCTGTAGGATAAGATGTCACCTGTTCACTGTCCATGACAATATCTACTGACAAATATTCGACAACATCGCCTTGCACGTGTGACATCATTTGTTCATTGATCTGTCCCACGATTTCATTGGTCGGTGCTAATATTGCCTTTTCACACAGCCAATCTCTATTCCTCACGTTGTTTTTAAGATCTTCCAAGTTGTGGACAGCATTACAAAATTCTTGATTTATTGTAATCATGCCGTTAGCGTCCGTAGTCATTCGATCGATTTTCAATAGAGCAGCTGCATATTGCCCCGATTGCGTATCATTATGTAGTTGTACTCGCATGTTTTTAGTGAGACAAAATATTTTTACATGCACCCATAATGTAGACGCCTTCAAACATGCATTTATCTCATCTGCTGGAGTGCCTCTGGTAATGTACAGATTGAGATTTATTATCATAAAAAAACCTTTACACCTAAAACTTTTAAATATCATGTTCCTAGGTTCAGTGGTTAAGATTTTGTATACAAAAAGTTTCGCTTCGTAGTTCCCAATCCCATACAACTTTTCACCTCCCCTTTTAACCCCTTACAACCCCCTTTTCGCAATAAAAAGTAGCCTATGTCCTTTCTCAGGGTCTAGACCATCTGTATACCAAATTTCATTCAAATCCGTTCCGTAGTTTTGGCGTGAAAGAGTAACAGACAGACAGACAGACAGAGTTACTTTCGCATTTATAATATTAGTCCGGATTTGATTGTTTTCATTAATTTTGCTCCGATTTTATCTATTTTTAGTTTATTTATTTTATTGACATTTGTGACAACTTAATGTTTTTTATCCGTTGCCATGGCTAAAAGTGAATGGTGCGCAGATGAGGTTGCGCACAAAAACGTAACGAGGTCATTAATGTCATTCATCGATAGATTTTACTCCTAGCATTTTTATCATACCGGGCCCCTTATATATGCAAATCGATTCTTAAGGAGTAAACTCCAAAAGGATGTGAAACGTCAATAAATAATTAAAATCAGTGCATCTATACCGTTGAAACTGATTTTATAAGTTTGACAGGAAATTTTAGTTGTTTTTTTTAGGCATTTAACTGCTAGATGTTTAAATCTAAAGAAAAGTTTTACTAGAAAAAAATCCGCGGCCATCAGGGCCGTGGTAGCATAATTGGTCAGTGCATTCGCCCGGATTGCGAAGGGTGCGGGTTCGAGTCCCGTCCGCTGCGAGGAAATTTTTATTTAGCGCATTTAAGTAAAAGCTTCTTTTTTTTTTAATGGAAATAAAATGTATGTAAATTATGATTTGTTACTTACTTACTAATCGTTGAAATAAGTATATTAAACCATTTAAACATCATTTATTAATAAATATTTTATTAAAATATAAAATTATATTTACAATCACATACGAGCAAGACCCAAAACACTAAAATAATTTGGTATTATTCATGCCTACTAACTAATAATAATAAAGCTCATCAAAATCATATTTTATCTATTCATATTTTTATTTAATCTTTAAAAAAATACAATAATTTTTATAATATAAAATATTTTTTCGGGCTGAAAAACGAATCAATGCCATAAATAATAAATAAAAAATTATTTACTACTAGCGATTCTAAGATTTCATCGTGTGTTTGTCAATGTCATTTGGTGTGTGTGTGTGTGTGTGTGTGTGTGTGAGTGTGTGTGTGTGTGTGTGTGAGTGTGTGTGAGTGCGTGTGTGCGAGTGTGTGTATGTGTGTGTGTACATGTGGGTGTGTGTGTGTTTATAAATAAATCAATGTCTTGCTAATGTTTTATTATTATACAAATAAAATATTATTACGAGTATCATACTCTATTTCCATATAGGTAAATTTTAATTATGCAAAATTCTCACACTATTTCGCGCCCAAAATATTCTTTAAAAAAGGTGAAAATATTATAAATTAATTTCAATATTTACAAATCAAATTAATACACGTTTAACTTAATATATATTCCATTTTAATTCGTGAAAACAACCATTATCATTTTTAGAACAATATAATTGCCATTTGGTGTTACAAAGAGATTTTGCATTTTATCATACTCCTAAAAAAACAGGCGTATTACGGATTTCATTGTACTATAATTTTAAAACTGGTATCATTAACAACATAATTATAATCATTATCATAATAATCAAAGTCATTTCTTCAGTTTAGGCTGTTACAAGCACTCATGAATGTCTAGAAGCTACGCCATCGGTTCGTAAATCTACAGCGGGAGACCTTGTACTGAGAAGAACCGGCAAGAAACTCAGCAAGGGCTGTTATTTTCTTCCCGTTTTATTACTAACAGAGTCGTCAAGTTGAAAAAAATTACTTCAGAGATGATTCATGAAGTCACCTTTCATTACATAATGATTAAATATACATTAATTGTTCTGCGTTTTGATTGCTGCGTCATACAGTATAAATACAAATAGTGTTATTTATATTAAGTGTAACTTATCATTAACATCTTTAATATCAAAGAAGTAATGGCAGACTCATTTCCGCTGGCAGCACGCATGAACCAGCCATAGCTTCGTTCAACCATATTTTAGCGACGACCCACCTCACACGACAAAATGGCTCAACAGGGATTTATCCGCAATTCCGCCAATTATTATAAAATATCACTTCAGTATTACATTACATAAGTTGCCGTGTATTATAAAAAGAAGTCTCTGAATGTCGGCCTCTAAACAAAACTCAGAGTCGCGCAGCGTGCTATGGAGAGCTATGCTCGGTGTTTCCCTACGTGATAAGATCCCAGATACGGAGATCCGTAGAAGGACCGGTGTGTACGACATAGCCCGAAGAGTTAGCACGCTGAAGTGGCGATGGGCAGGCCACATCGCTCGAGGATCTGACAACCGTTGGGTAAGAAAGGTCCTCGAGTGGCGACCACGTACCGGACAACGCAGCGTGGGGCGGCCCCCAACAAGGTGGACTGACGACATCGTCAAATGTGCTGAGAGCCGCTGGATGCGAATAGCGCAGGACCGCGCATTGTGGCGTTCTATGGGGGAGGCCTACGTCCAGCAGTGGACGGAGAAAGGCTGATGGATGGATGGATGGATAAAAAGAAGTAGATCACAGCCCCTTAAAGAAGGCTAAGGTCAAAATATTACTATTTTAAGGTATTGTCTTTCAGAACGAAGCAATGTAAGGTTTCCAAAGCACTATGTATTAGGGAATTGAGTTCAGGTTGGCAAAATGAAGGAGGCTGGAGCAGTTACACTTTACTGCCTCATCAACTGGTCCCTCAATTGCTTTTTTTATTTTTTTCATATAAAAATTGGCACTTTTTAGCCATCAACAGAAACATAATACCATATTAGTATTTCACTGTAGGTACCAGCAAGATGAAGGTTACTCCCCCTTATCCAGACAGCGCTCCGATTCGAGCGGGAAAGCCACTATTCTCTACCTCTCAAAAGGGCACTTAACATGACGTGGGTTAAGGTATTTTGATGAAATCTGCAAATATTTTTGGAGAATATTCAAATGATCACCAAAAATTTAAGGCAAGTGATCACTAGAAAGCACAAAGGTGTGATTATGTTAGCAGTTGTATTTTTTGGTGATCATTTACTATATTTTTTTATTTTTTTTATGATCTTTGACTAGTTTTGGTCAATTACTATTTTTTTAGTGATTACATACTAGCTACTACTTTTGGTGGCCTTTTACTATTATTTTTGATAATCATTTACTATGGGTGATCATTTTAATTTGAGACATATTTTTTCTTCAGCAGCTTCTTCTATTCCCTGATCTTCATGCTGACCCAGTGGCCCCCCTTGATCCTAAGGTTGAAGGTGTCGTTGGATAGCTTCACTGGGATCATGGTCTTGGCGCTAGGCGATATCTCCATGTGCTGCAGCAACTGGTAGAGCATCACCTTCACTTCGCACAATGCAAATCTAGAGCCTGCAAAAAGAAAAATTACGGAGGAATTATTTACAAAAGTTCCTGACAAAAATATTTAATGAAATATTGGGGTATTCTAGGCTCAACTTGAATCAACATTTCAATATCTCTTGTCTTAAATATACAAATATTAAGTATATCGGGTAAAGCAGATTTTTAGTAGTGGTCAAACTACTCCAATGACAGAAAAAAATATCTTTAATTCAATACAATTAACCGATCAAAATATGGGCATATAAAAATGCCAATTGCATTTTTTCTATAGCAAAATTTGTATAATCTCAGATACATATTACAATAAATGTACACATTATGATATTTTATATTGTTTTAAACTTTCATGGTCACTAACATTATAGTAATATAAGTTATTTACGGGATTGTTACCATGTATGTGTACAACCGGAAATAATCAAAAAAGTGTCGTGTCGCCATCCGATACGATTTCGAGTGAATAGTGAGAATGTGAACAGTGGTACGGGTATCGAACGCAATAAAAGTCTTCGTCGGAGGGTAGAACGATATGTCTGCCAATAACAGCCTACCCGCAATTACTTCAGTTACGCCGTGATCATGGCGCTTGCAACAGTGCCGAAATATCGGAAACTCGGTAAAAACAAGGTACATGGTAACAATCCCGTAAATTACTTATATTACTATTATGATACATATTTGTATATTATATTTTTTGATAGCTTTTTTTTTGTATTGAATTAAAGATATTTTTTTTGTCTATATGTAAAGACTCAAAACAGGTTACAGTCATAAGAATATTAATTAATTAACAATAGTCCAGGAACAAACTATAACCCTAGAAATATGTATGTCTAGTATGGTAAGTATGAGCAATTAATATCATTAAAAAATATAAAACAGATTACAACAGAGTATTATAATTGCTGTACAACCAGTAACAATATGAGTACTATGTGTTACTTACTGATCGTACTTACAATATTATGTACTAAAGAAAAATGTGAAAATTTTGGTTCTAAAAGATTTTACGTTAGCTTCAAATATTTCTATATTTGAGCCATGTTGAGAAATTTTGTTATTTAAGTAACATATGCGAACAATTGGATTGTAAAAGGATGTTTTCTTGTGGTAAACTTGTTAAGAGTAATAAATTACGATTCCATGTTCTGTATGTTATGATAAAATCTATTGATGATAGTAAATGTAAGGAAGGAGAATCAACATATGAATGGACTATCATGTAGAAATTAATCAAATCACTCTGCTTTCGTCTGTTTTCTAAAGTTGTAATTTTGTAGTATGTTAAAATTAACCTAGTTTTTTAAGTTTATGATCTTAACTAACTTTGGTTTGTTTAAGAATTGTGGTGACGCGACTAAAGGTTAAGCAAAGTTTAATACTAGAAATTTATTTCTGTTAATCCAAACTGAGCAGCTCGATGGCGCAGGTAGCTAGCGCGTTCGGCTGCGATCGTTGAAGTTAAGCAACTTTCGCAGTGGTCGGTCATTGGATGGGTGACCAAAAATTTACTATCTCGAGCTCCTCCGTGCTTCGGAAGGCACGTTAAGCCGTTGGTCCCGGCTGCATTTGCAGTCGTTAGCACCCACCAATCCGCACTGGGCCCGCGTGGTGGGTCATGGCCCAATCTCCCTATTCCATCCATAGGGAAAGCCTGTGCCCCAGCAGTGGGGACATTAATAGGCTGATGATGATGAATCCAAACTAGTTAGACTGTTTCACTAAAAGGAAAATTAATCCAGCTCTATAAACTAGTGTAGGAAGGCCAAAGGGAAAGATCTTCCTCCGAGCTGGGTGATGGTAGCTCGGGGGCCGCGGCCCGACTGATGTTGGTCGGGCATCGCATATATGAAGAGTTAGCCTTCGAATTTCATTTGCACGATGTAGGCCTCCATACTAATATTGATCGCAGTGCAGGTAACGCCATCTCTTGAGGATGGTGAGTAATTTTGACTACACAATTTCACCATGACAATAATGTGAAAGAATCTTACCTATACAATTCCTAGGACCTAGTCCGAAGGGCACGTATGTGAACGGTTGTATACGGTGCTTGTTTTCTTCCGAGAACCGCTCAGGGTCGAACTTGTCGGGTTCAGGGTAGAACTCAGGGTCGTGGTGGATGCCCCACACGGGTATTACCAGGCCCTCCCCTTTACGGACCTGGGATAAATAAAAAATATTGATAATGTTATCCTACTATTGATGAGAAAGATGGACCATGTGGTGCACGTGATCGTGGAAGTTAGGCAACTTTCGCAATGGCAATTTGACCGATGGGTTACCAAAAATTTATTTAAATAATAAATAAATAAATATTTCCAACACTCACACCAATTAGCCTAGCCCCAAAGTAAGCACTATAAGGCTTGTGTTATGGGATACTAGGGTAACGGATAGAATACATATACTGTACATATATAAGTATATTTATATAGAAATACATATTAAACATCCATGATTGGAGTACAAATGCTCGTATTCATCACACAAACATCTGCCCCCACCGGGATTCGAACCCGGGACCTCTCGAGTCGGCGACACCATGAAACCCGGCGTACAAACCACTCGGCCACGGAGGTCGTCAATTTGGCTCCATGCTTTGAAATGATAATCCCACATTATTTTTTGTTACGCTGAAACTCTAGCTTCATGGCACAGGTGGTTAGCGCGTCCAGCTGCAATTGTTGAAGTTAAGAAACTTTTACAGTTTTCAGTGATTGGATGGGAACCAAAAATTTACTATTTCAAGCTCCTACGTACTTCGAAAGGCATTTTTATTTCCAAATGATACTATAAATTTGAAGAGTATTTAATTTTATAGGTACGTTGAGATACTCACTATATAATCTTTTTCACATTTATCGTTAGGTTTTCCCAAATTGTAATCTTTGTTGCAGAGCCTGTCTAATGCTATCGCGGCCGGCCAAAGCCTAAGAACCTCTGAAAATACAAAAAACAAAACCAATTAAAAGCACATTATGGACATAAAAATAATCTTAAAAACTTTGTAGTAAATTCAATTATAAATAATTTTTCACTAGTCTTTTATTTTCCTTTTGTCTGGTTATCTTTGCTTGACTTATTCGATTTTGATTGATTTATTTCAGAAAATTTCGAAAATCGTAACATTCGCTTTGTATACAAGATCATGGTACGCGTGAGCGAATCCAGTTGTGAATAATAATACTCTGAAAGAGAAATAATAGAAGAAATTCGACACGGACATAAAGGTATAGCGGAAGATGCAACTTTGTTACCAGTCAGATATCTTGGCCAGGTCGAATTATTGTAAAATAATACTTAGTAATTAACATAAATGTTATTGCAGTGTGTAAGGTCACTAGCATTTAGATTCTGTAAGCTACATTCTTACTTACGCTCTCATTTATTCGCATTTTTGGCAATAGGGTATTTGGCAGTGTTAAAAATAAAGTGCCAATTGTTGGCATCTGTGTTTAGAATGAATATTAGCACGGGCTTTTACTATTTTTACAAAAAAAATATTCATAATTTTAAACAACTAACGAAAAATATAATAGTTTTCTTATCTATTGTCACGTGACCCAAAACGCTTGGGATTGGTGGAGCCTAAAATGATATCACACGCAAGTAAACTTCCTGATAAAGTGACATTACATTGTATCGTTTGACGTTTTAATAACAGTCGGCAGTCGTGTGACGTCACACACTAGTAAGACGCCATATTGTCCAGAGAATCGTTTTCGCGGCAACTTGAAAATGGAATTTTTGATTTGGTTATTTTTACTGAAATACACAACAGAATGATGAATATCCACATTTTTCCTTTTAAAGGCGTTATGCATATCAAGATAATGTCTTAAATGGCAGCTACCGAATTCGAAAGTGAGATTTTATTTTACAGAATCGCGCTACAAATCTCTACGAGGTAGGAAAATAGAGTAAAGGTCGGCCAAGTGAGAGTAATTAGAGTGGTGCATTCTTCTGCCATACTTGATAGCTACCTTTGATTCACGCTCTAGTATTTCACTTTCAGAGTATTGCTCTTTGTTGCCTACACAGTCTTCTGTAAGACAGAGCATGCTACCGCAGACGGAGGCTACACTACCAACATTAAAATTATCGATCCCCTAAGTACCTCTTTCAATTTATCTGAACCACGAATTACCTGACACGACCATATCCATGTAGACCATGTTTTGTATGGAGTTGTAGTCAAATTTGCCGCCATTCTTCTTCTCGTTCTCCCTGATCTCAGCCACCAGCTTCTCCTGGACGTCAGGGTTAACAGCGAGCTCGTGCAGCGCAAAAGACATTGCTGAAGATACTGTCTCGAAGCCAGCGATGAAGAACAACACCGCTTGCGCGATTAAGTCCTCGTCCGCCCATACTGAGGATGAAGTGGTTGGACATTAACACATTTGAAGATGACCCAGGAAATGACACCTAATGTAAGGTGTGAATGGAGTACAGTAGAGAGCTGGTGCCTCTCTGTAATTCGTGATGGTTCATCAGATACTTATAACTATAGGATGATATGATAAATTTGAGTAAAACATGGCGGCAGTCTGCTTCAAAATAAGTAAGACCGTCTAATGGAAAAGCACGTGAGCATGAAGTTTTGAAAAATAACTTTCTATTAAATATTATTTGGGTCAAATCTTATTGGTTCTGAGGGTCAAATAAAGGAATAAGCTTTACCTCTGTCAATATTCTTTTTGCCAACATTAGATTCTTCGACAGTGGCAAATCCAGCGTCAGTGCCATTTGTAGTCTTCTCGTCGTGTACCAGCTTTCCTGTTGTTCAAGTTGAAAAGTATAAATTATCTGTTCACCAAAAATAGTCTGAAATATTTCGCTAAGGGTAACAATTTAATACTACTAATCAAAGATCTGATCCGAAGGATAAACTAGAAACCGAGGAAGATATAGCACATACGCAACCCCATAATTGAGTTTAAGAAACCAGTCACGTTGTTATTTGGTTGTAGTTGCGAACTATTTGTTCAAGCTAGTATGTGTACCTACACTTTGATCACGTGCATTTTGTATTTAATATACTTATATGAAGTGCTAATTATCATATCAGCATAAAGTACTACTTAAACTAAAATCTAAGAATAATTATGATGCACTTATCGTGATGAGTTATCACTAAACTATTGACTCGATTATATTTTTATTTACATCTAAGAACAGTATGTATAAGAAATTGTACTTAAAGGCTCTAGAAAACCTTTTAGTATATATCGGAACTTTTGTTGAGCAAAGTAATACTAATCAAAATACATTTATTTTGAGAACTCAGAGCATTTTATCCTTATTGTCTTTAGTTTTAAAAGACATTGAATCAGTAATCCTAATGCACAACAATAAAATAAAAATTGAAAACCAAATTTAATAATAAAATTCATTCTAGTAATAAAATTTAATAAATGAAAATATAAGTCTGTTTCAAATATCATTAACAATCATTAGGTGAGGAGACATATAAAAATCATAAAGCTTTTCAATTACCAATTACTAATAGACTTTACCTACTGTACCATAGACATGGACCACAGGCATGGACTTATTTATATATAATGTACGGCATGGACTATGGCCATGAACCGCCTGATTGTTTCGTTTCACTTCACAGTTGACGGCAAACACTCAGCCCATGCTAAGCCCTTTCTCTATATTCTCTATTATTTTTGAATTAAGGAAAGCAAATGACTCTATCCCACCCATAGATGTATTACCCCACTAGGTACACTCTACATTAAGTGGTGGTAAAGTCCAGACGCGAACATAGATGGTGCAGGAGTTATGAACTGCCACACCAACTGTTCTCACCTTTCTGGCCTGCACAAATGCTTCTTCATGACTCTCTCAGACATCAGATTGTAGGAAGGTGGGAACACAAGCGCGGGCAAAGCATTCTGATTACGATATAGTACGATAAAGATATAAGTCACCAAATCTCTTCGTTCACGCAGGAATTGTACTAACCTTTCTTGGCTTCCATGAGGAGATGGATCATGTCTGGTCGGATGATATGCTGCGCCTCCCGCTCACTCATGGTATTCATTACGAGGTGCTTGAAAAACTTTGTTGTCACGTCCTTGAACAATCTTAACTTCATAGGCTAAAACAGTACAAGTATATTTAGTTCACAGTATACATCTCTTAGGTAAATAATTGGAAAAAGATTTATGATGAAAAAAGTAGCCAAGACAATGTCTTGGTGAAGTTAATCGAAATAATTTGATCAAACACTAAAATAATATAAAACATAATGCCTGTTTATCTTTTAAAGAGAGCAGTGGTTCATGAATTGATAATGATGATAATGTATTGACAGTAGTCAATAATAACATATTTTTAGAAACATAATGAATTTGACATTGAAGCCAAAGCCGATCTTCCAAATAAAAAAACGTACGCTCTACAATGCAAAGAGTCATCAGAGCCTATTAAAATTTTGTTCGCAAAATGTATGACCGTGATCTTGCATCAACATCACTGATCTTCACAGGGCACCGGCTTGTTATTGTAATCAAATACGATACGAAACAAACCTGTCTAACAAAGCCACTTAGATAAAGTCGCATTTACTACTCTAAAGATAATGTGTAATAACTTAGACTAATGATTGTACACAAATATTTTGAGAAATATATTTTTAATGACCACGTTTCATAAAAACGTTATTAAGCTATGGAATGTTTGTGGTATTTATAAAGCCCAGTGAAGTTATACCTACGTACCTATGTAAAGTGTTTACATTAGCTTTTGGAGTTTACTCCTTAAGAATCGATTTGCATATATAAGGGGTCCGGTATGAGAAAAATGTGAGGAGTAAAATCTATCGATGAATGACCTCGTTACGTTTTTGGTGCGCATCCTATGTCGCACAACTTTGACAAACAAAGATGACGGATTGACATTAATAAAATTTTTGAAATCTAAACTGAATTTAGATATTGTTTCTGATAGAGCAATGGGGACAACCAGGTATGGTACAACCATTGATGCGGTATTTTCAAGATTCGTGAACCACGTATCTACGAACGTCCATGTGTCTTATTTTAGTTACCATAAACCACTTACGTAATTAATAATGCAGACAATGTTGATTTAATTATTATTTAAAAAAATGATAATAATCTGATAATAATAATTACATAATTTATCAACATTCCTAATGACATATTTATTCACATCTGAAATTGACTATTGTAAAAAGTTTAATGTAAAATATTTCCTCGATTAGTTATAATAAATGTTTAAGAAATGAATAAATATATATTTATATATTATTTTCATTAATTTGTTAATTTACCCTTTCATACAGTATCAATCTTTTTTAAGTTAAATAAACTCTTTTTGCGTCTGTTTAGACTATCGAACTTAAGGAGTAAACTCCAGTCGTGCGTCGGGGCTGACACACACAATTTTTTTTAAACGTATCTTATCGATATCTTCCAAGGAAATCCTGTTTCAGCAACTCATTAATTTTATTTTTAGTTTGTATATCGCACGCTTTTAATTTTAAGAATTGTTAATAGCATTTTTTTAATACAGTATCTTTAGAATTGTCTATAGTTGTATCGAATTCTAAAATCAATTCCGTTAAAGAGTTTTCTTACCTTCGTGATTTTTGGAAAATTAGCCATAGCGAAGAACATTAGCAACTGTCGGAAGTTGAAAGTGGATGCCTCCTTCCCCTTTTCGTAGAAGTCATTATTCTCCTCAACCAAAGAATCTACCTTTAGACCAAAAGCACAGGAGGCTATTACGTCATTAGCAAATCGAGTGGTCAGGTCTTTGCAGTCCACATCGATTTTTTTAGCTAAAATATTAAAAGTATTTGTTTTCAAAAGGTTTCTCAATTACAATGAGGGATTATGTAGGTGTGAAGAACTCTTTTATCGGTAAATATAAGTCATTATGGCCATTTTACGCAAAAACTATTTTATTAACTCACTTTTTGATTGCTTGATCTTGTTTTTGAGGCTTTCAATCATCTGATTACCCACTTCCACCATAAATGGCAACATTTGTCTCATCTTGGAGCTTGTGAACGCCGGACTTAGAGTTGATCGCATGTCCTTCCATTCTTGACCTGATCGGATAAAAAAGTGTCTCAATTAGGATCAATAATGCCAACATGCGTTTTATAACAGAGTATTGACACTAGCAGCTGTAATAATATCATCAATATGTTAAGAATTATGATCAACCAACATAAAATTGTGTTCCATTTGTAACATTGGTCCTTATTAATATTATATATCTTATCAATAGCCTTTTTAGGTCTGCATCGTCAGAATAATCATTTTTATTTGAAACGTAAACGAAACGTCGATGAATAAATAAAGTTCGTACATTAACCCGTTAATACTAGTTTTATTTAATGAGTGATGTGCGTGAAATCCTAAGAAACGACGAGAAAAGACAGTTTTATAGTAATTGTTCAAAAGTTATAACTGACTTCAATATGGAGGAAGAAGGTTCTCAATGAGGTTTGTATAATTTTTTCTAATAAGTGTCTGGTTAATAGAAAAAAATATTATTAGTTATTAGAAATAATTCTCTGAATTCTATCTATCGACTCTGAATTTATTTTCATTTAAATTATTTTTAAGAAGTAGAAGATCATTTCTACTTCTTAAAAATAATTTAAATGTGTTGGTATTTTTATTTTATTGAATACTAGGATAAAAATATAATAATCATACCTATTGAAGTTCGATTTGTTATAGATAGCTATTAAGGCCTGCCTACAAATCGTATAGGAAGTTGTGTATTATTATTTATGATTGCAATGACGTTACAACTTCCAACAATTTAAATAATGACCTAGTGATCAGGAAAAGCTGACAGGACTACATGTTTACATATCCGCCAGTGTGTCTTTTCAAATTAGAATATTCAGAATCATCATAAACACCTTTTAAAGAAAACAGGTTTCTTCCGAAGAGTGGGTCAGTCTTTTCATCCACCATTGTCCTGTGATCCAGGAAGTTCTCAAAGTCCTTCACTGTTACCTTCTTTATCAAGTCTATGTCCCTTATCACTACCATAGGGTTCAAAAACTCGTACCGTCCAACGAATCTACAAAACATTACATAAAGCTTTTTTTATGTGTGTCTATTTGTCAAAACACTCAAGATGTAATTAATTAATAAATAAATAAAAAATCGTCATAAGCTGTAGTTAAATTGTAATACTGTATAGGAAAGTATAATAATCAGAAGAGAACGATATGAATTGAAAATTAGGACAAAACACATGGTACGAACTGACCAACTGAAATGATTGTATTAATGTTGTTTTGATGCCTCTTCAAATTTTCGTGAAATTTAATGTAATTGATAAATAACAGTGGTCTCAGAGTAGAACCTTGCGGAAGGAAATTTGTGATCTTATCGAGATCGAGAAGATATGTTTACATGGATAGATGGATATACTCTTTATTAAACATACATACACAATTAAAGGGCTTACAAAACAGATAGTAAACTATGGTGGGTAAAGGCGGTCTTAAAGCAATCTCTTCCAGACAACCTTTAAGTAAAAGGATGTAATTTTAATGATAATTTTATCATTACATTACCCACCTCTCGTCAGGGAACTCCTTGTAAATCCTCTCAATGTGGTCGGCGAAGTGTTCCATGCGACAAATGACTCTTGTCATATTGCCCAGCAATGGGACTGGGGGTAAGTTTTTGACACCATACTTTGAAAACCTCGAGTACTTCTGTTTGAGGTACAGCGCTAACGCCACTATCACTGCCACGCACCATATCAGGAACAACATCGTCTGTGAACAATTAAAGAAGGAACTATTTAATATAAAGCTTTCAATGGATATCTCCTAAGATATTCATTAAAATCAAATAATGTCCAGAGAAATTTTAAAACTTAAATATTCGTTGTGAATAACGTATTGATTTTGGATAAAGACTGATTATCATGTTTAAACAAAATATCTTAGCAAATAATCTATTATTTTAGAATAAAATAGATAACCACGAAGAAAGGTTTTAAAGGGTCAACCTTATTAAGATGAACATAATATGCTACCGCGGATTTATTTAGAACTTTAAAAGAGAAATAATTCCGTTTAACCGTTTACACAGCGTACGTAACGAAAGCTCGTACCCCTTAGCACGAACCAATATCGAATTCGTATCGTTTGCGAGTCCGAAATATCATTGTCAAATGTGTACTGATTTTTAGTTCTTGTTACGTACTTTGTGCCGCTGCTGTTCAAGTTTCCATACCAAATTTGACATCGACATTTCGGTTTGCAAACTATTCGAATTCGATAATGGTTCGTGCTAGGGGTACGAAAAGGAATGTTTTATTCCCTTTTTCGCAATAGTTGTTATTTCTTATTAATATTCGTGTTTTTTATATTCTCGTCTTTTTAATTGCAATGTAATTTAATATCCTCCTTCCTCGATAAATGGACTATCAATCACGAAAACAAATTTCCAAATTGAACCAGTAAGTAGCTCCTGAGATTAACGCGTTCAACCAAACAAACAACTCTTCAGCTTTTTTTATTTTTAGTATAGATTTGTTGTTATAGACCAGGCGATAATTTTTGAGAGCAATAAATTTGGAACTGGATGAAACCTATTCAAGCAAGGTAAAGATGGTCGGTGTGGTAGTTCATAACTACTGCTCCAGTATTCTTTGAGTCTGGCTTTTGACCATCAGGTGGATCAGAGTCACATGCCTAACTCATTATAAAAATAGCAATGGCAACACTCTTATCGCAAAAGAATACTAAGCAGAATATAAACAAAAACAACCATTTTATTTTAAATTATTACGCCTATCGGGTTTGAACTCAAGACCTCTCAAGACACTCGAAGGAGCGTTTGTTGAACTACTAACAACATTGAACAAAATGAAAATACTAATCACATACATACTTACACAGGTGTCGGAAACAGTGTTTCGAATTCAATTAACCAAAAGAAGTTTTCACTTCATAAAATTTTCTTTCTTCCTTTCTATTCACGTACAACGACTATTCAAGGAAATATACACAAACACAATTCTATAAATAAACCAAAACTAACAATATTATCTAAGACAGCAATATCAGTAATAAAGATTGAGATAACATTAATTTAGTACTTAAACGAAACGATTTCCAGCCATATCAGCTAATAACAAATAATTATTGTTACCGGATTCCGTATAATCTCTATCTATGATCTCAATATTCATATTTGTGGTTCCTTATATCAAAAAGAACTTTTGATAAACTTTTTCACTAACTTTATTATCATTTGGGTATGTTAGAAAATCATCTATATACATAAAACTCAAAGGTGATTGACTGACATAGTGATCTATCAACGCACAGCCCAAACCACTGGACAAATCTGCCTGAAATTTGGCATGCAGGTAGATGTTATGACGTAGGCATCCGTTCAGAAAGGATTTTGATCAATTCTTCCCCCAAGGGGATAAAACATTGAATGAAAGTTTGTATGAAACTTTGTCAATTTTAAACCGATCGGGCTGAGACTATGCATGAAGGTATAAGAAGAATCATAGATGAATGTCATTGTGTATAATACAAGCCTGAGAACAAAAACTGTACTCTACACTTCAGCTCTACACCGAAGCGAAGCGAGGGTGGGCCGCTAGTTTTTTAATATTTCTGATAATAATGAATTAGAAAAAAAGATAGTTATTTATAACATAATAATTATATTGAGCCGAAGTGATGACGATAATTGAAAGTAATGTGGAGGTTTTTATATGAAATTTCAAAAATATTGTTAAACAAAATTTTGTTCTGGAATTTCGGAAGGATTATGTATTATTCTTCTAGATTCAGGTCCTTTTATCCGAGTCGGTTCCAGGTACTTTACCGAGCTGGACAAAATCTGGATAATGTGTCTGAGTTTTGTTCTGGATATTTATTCGGCTGTACTGTGCTTAAACCGGGAGGTAGTAGGAGGGGTTAAAAGATTTATAAACAACTATCTTTCGCCTGTAAAGCGAAAGATACGAGTTCGAATCACGTCAGAAACCTGTGACTTGTTTTCTAGTAAAATTTTCTTTAACAAGCAGTAGTGATGTAAATGCTTAAATTATAAATATAATAAAATACCTACCTAATTCTCCTTCATGATTATAAAAATTAGAAACAATAAACTACACAGCAATTCACAGAAATGACTGAAATCATTTGAATTCGTTACAATCAAAATCTGAATAAGATGAAAAACGTTGAAATAATATTGGTCTCAATTGTCTAAATGTTTTAGTTGCCTTCGAAGACACGCGAGCAGTTGACCTGATGTTAAGGGTTAAGGGTCATGGGTCATCATCGCCCATGGACATCAGCTATGCCAGTGTCACAACTGTATCGCTTTATTTCGTGGAAAGAAGAAAGAAAGAAGGAAATTTTTTGCTCTTTAAACATATATTTACAATAACAGAACACAACAAGACAGACCAACTAGGTCCCTGTCTCAGCTTAATACTACAGCAACACCAGGGCTGCTGCAGCGCTGATAATTCTGGCAGGGCCTAAGGTTGACGAGACATTTTTCTTATATAATAATAAAACAGAACAATAATAACCATACCACATAACATTACAAAAAAAAACAACATAGGCTGCATGTTTGTATTACCTTAAGCCTAAAAACAATCTTGAAAAAAAATGCCTTGAAAATCTCTTGTTTGTGGAACACTTTTAATATGAAATATATGTTAAAATCAGTGCTATTCTGTAAAATTTTCACATTTCTGTTCGGTTCTGATATAAATCCGCGCAGTTCCACATCATATCCGCGCGTCAACATTTTACAGAATAGAGCACTGCTGACCTTACTTAATAATAATATATATGTTCTTTTTTTTAATTAACCGGTTAAACAACACCAAGCAAATTTAACTCACCAACAGGTCGGATTATAATTCGTTAACATTGAATAAAAATAACTCTTGTACATTAGTTACCTAATAATATAAAGAAAAACTCACTCACGTGTTGTTTGTAAACAATGGCGACACGTTGAGCTCACTTGACTTGAATAAAAAACCGGTTACACTTGTTTTCGTCCTCACTCGTAAATGAACGCCAATATACTGCGCTGGCGCAGCTCCTAGGATCGTTTTTATACTCACAGCAGTGTCTGTTTAAGGAATAAAAAATTTTTATCAACATAATGATAAGATAAAAACAACAAAATTGAATGCTGAGGTATGATTTAAAAATAGACCTGTTGACGTCACACTGAGAAAAATCAAAGCTCTCCAAAAGCCGTACCTAATTTTGGAAAGAATAGCAATAAATAAGGTGTTATTGCCATTTATCATATAACATCTGATAGGTACTTAGATTCTTTATACATCACAATAGCCTTCGCTGGTTACCAATAAACTTCAAGACTTTGTAAGACATGGTGTGATATTGTACCTGATGAAGATGATCCTTGTATTTTGTTATCAGCCTATTGTTATTCCTTCTGCTAGGAGACAGCTAAACCTTCCTTAAAAACGAAGTAGGGAGAACATGTCATTACTCACAACGTGGCAAAAGTCATTTAAAGGCATTTTTTTTATTCTTCCTCCTGCTTCTTTCTTATTCTCTGCATCCTAAGGTTCTTTGGTTATTTGGAAGAGATCGCTCTTAGCGATAAGACCGCCCAATATGACACTGTATACAAAATTACGTAAAATTTTTTTTTTTTAAATATTATATTTCTGAGGTGTCATATGGATGGAGTTTTTATGATTTATTATTATTATAAAGGAATTCGCGACTGAACTATTATTTGGACATTTAAAATTGCTAATTTAAAATGTACATAGTGCAAGCTATGGCCTTTCAGATGGTCCCAAAGTACTTGCCAGCGGTGGTAGAACACTACCTGAGAGAAGATCGAGAGATGCTCTACATAGGGCCGAAAGGGCAGCTGATATCCAGACGTATGCGGTGCGGGGTCCCTCAGGGGTTAGTCCTCGGACCTCTACTATGGAGTATGACTAGGCCCTCCGCGGCGTCCATCTACGCAGGCTGATTGTTATCTGCTATGCAGATGGATACAAAATCCTTTTGCTTTCAGTCTAATGTAATGAATTTTCTGAGCTTATTTGAATTTTCCTGATCGGCAAAAAGAAATTCCCAATACCAAAAAATATTTGCTTGTGGGACACTTTTTGGCGCGATTAACCTTTCGAACACAATCATAATGTGATGCAGACTGCAAATATTATTTATATTTGCTCATCTGCTGTCTTCTATGCGTTGGAGGTAACTACCCCAGATGGGAACTCTAATTCGAACGGAAAATCAGCTTTTCCCTACCTCCTCCTTCATTACTGTTCAATTACATATAAACCTGTGAAAACATTCGCTTTTTAGATAGAATATTATTTCATAACAATTTCACCGCGTCGATTTTTGCGTTGCACAAATCTTGCGCAATTTACGTACAATCCGTAGCCACCTACTTACTTATTATGTTGTGAGTTCGATCGTTTTCCTCTTAGGTTCTTAAAGAGGGAGCAGAGCAATAAAAGTTATGATAATTTTGCATTGGATTGTCATTGGACCTCAAATAAAATTAACACAAACTAAGTAAAACAATTTATTACAAATATTACCAAATCTATGTAAACGTTGCTCAATAGATAAGTGAGTGATCAAAAATTGTTACTATTAGATATTGTCTTGTCGTGATAGCAATAAAATCTTACGTCATTTGTTTATAGCTTTCTTGGACATATAGCTTTGCCTAAACAAAACGATAGTATTCATTTGACATTGTGGGTTAC